GAACCTTACATAGACTGCAAGTTACTTATTTGCATAACAATTGTGCAAGCAGGGTTGGCCTAGTGAGATTTAAGGAGGCAGCTAAAAGATCCTCTTCCCAACTGCTCTTCATCTGCTTCAGTGCCTGAAAATCCACCATCAGAAGTTCATTCCTTTGGGACAAAATGTGAAGATTCCAGGAATTCTCTGTTAAAATGCAAAAATACTCCTGGTAAAAGCAAAAATTGTTATCAGCCTTTATATGAATTAGTTTTCAGACTAGTTAATGGTCCAACTCATTTAACAGGATTGAGGAATGGAACAGAGGACAGGTAGGTTTTTAATAGAGATAGGGAGGACAGAGTATGTTCATTTTATGAAGCACGGACAGTGAAGGACCAACTCTGCTTGAAAGCACTGGGGAGAGGTATGGAAGGTAAGTGAATAGTAGAAGGATGCAGAAAAGAGAGACATCAAAAGGGCTTCCCAGCTTTGGCTAGAACAGCTCTTAAGTATTGTCTGCTACTCCACACTTAAGAAAGTGAGAAGTCCCACTCTGACCGAGGTGCTTTTGAAAGATATGAGCTCTCAGAAGGACACAAACAAGGAGGCTGAATCACCCTTAGACTGTGATAGGTACCAGAACTACAACTCTGGTCAATTACTCCTCCTGCATTCCCAAGGAGATTGGGCCTTTCTGGGATTGGATGAAGAAGTAGGAAAGCCAGACTCTGATTCTTGGGGCCTTTTATTAGGTGGGTTTTTTTTGGGGGGGAGGGGCAAGGCAATTTGGGTTAAGTGACTTGACCAGTATCACATAGCTAGTAAGGGTCAAGTGTCTGAGGTCACATTTGAACCCAGGTCTTCCTGACCCTAGGGGCCGGTGCTCTATCCACCGCTCCACCTAGCTGCTCTCCTATGAGCCTTTTAACAAAAGTCTTCCTGCAGGTCCTACAAGTCAGAGTGCAAAGGAATATACTTAAGTCAAGGAAGGACCTTTTGGAACAGAATAAATTAATGAAGAAGTTAGAGACCAAGTCCCATCGACTCCTAATGTCATGGATTATCTCTCTTGCTGAATAAAGGTGTTGCGTTCTGGGAAGAGAAAAAAAAACCCACATTTTTGTTAACATGCACACACGGATCTGATGCTGGGGAAAGTCCCATTACAGCCTGGAACATCTTTCCTCTAGGGCAGAGTGTATTAACCTGCGCTCCATGAATTCGTTATTTAAATATTTTGCCAACTGTATTTTAGTATTATTGGCTTCCTTTGTAATCATGTGTATTTTATTTTATGCACTTAGAAACAATGGTCCTGAGGCTTCTCCAGACTACCCCAAGGATCAATGAACCCTTACTCAAAGAGGAACTGAACTCGAAGTGTGTGACGAAAGAAGACCAGTCTCGTTAAAACAATCGAGGTGATGTCCAGATTGACAGGATCAGCTCGAGACAGACAGTAGAACACCCTTGGTACGGGATTCAAAGCTCTGGGGACCCGCTTCATCTCAAATCTTGTGGCCACTGTGGCCCATCTGTCGGTAGGTGGCAGGCCTCATCTACTCACAACATCGGCGAAGGAAGTTCAAAGGCGTGCCATTCGGGAAAACAGCTGCGTACCCGGGAACTTTGCGAGTCCTTTTCTTCCACTATGACTTTCTATTTTCTCTAGAAGCAGAGAAAGCCGAATGTGGAGAAGCCCGGGTAGGAAGCTGCCTCGTCCGAGGAGAGCTCCCTTTCTCTACGCCGTTCCAGCTCCAAGCTTTGCTTTCTCCACCCTTACCTGTTGAATTAATTTCTCGGACCTCTGTCGAGCAAGGAGGAGAATTGAGGATATCAGAAAGATAGAGCGAGGCAGGAAAAGGATGAACAGATTCGCCGCGAGCAAAAACCTTCCCTCCTCCACATTTAGCACAGTGCCCAACACTTAGTAGGCGCTTAATACATGCTTATTGAATGACTGATTGAGGCTTTTCCTTCGTGGGAGGAAATATCATCCGGGTCTGGGGTACTCCTGAACGTCACCCATATAACTTTAGGGAGACAGAAAAGAAACTTGAATAACTTATGCGAATTCCAAAGCTACACAAAATATCCTTTAACACCTCTGGCCCCTCCGCTCTCAATTGCGTGAATATCTATCTAGGTTGCCTGGCTAGAGCTGATCCTCTGCCTGGCTTGACCCTTAGCAAATCGCTGCACTTTATCCTGCGCCGGCAGAAGACGAGTTGCCACCTTTCGAAATGTTTCCAAGAAAGATTATTTTGACCCTTAGGAAAGTTCACCACATTAGGATCCTTTTGCAAAGACTTTAACAGTGGAAAAGGCGTATACACTTAGCGGATAACTTCTGTAACTGATGGTTCGGAATCGTTTCCGTTGCCCTTCTCAGTTCTATCTTGAAGTGTCTGCAAACTCAACTGACAGCCCAACGAAAACTACACGGTTGTTTCAGATATTAGGAGATTATTTAAAAGCGAAAAGTTCTGTGGTAAAATGTGAAGTCCTTGGAATACCATGATTTATATCAAGAGATCACCTTGGTCCTTGGTTATTATAACTGATAAATATTGGTACAGGTTAATGTTCACCATCTTAGTTATTTTGCAGTTGCTGTATATAAAAGTCATTTAGTGAAAATCATTTTATTAAGAAAACGGATGCGACACCTAAGATTCCCGCTCCCTCTTTCCCCCAAAAAATGACCGGTTAGAGACCACAAGCCATTCGATAACTAGTAACTGAGCAGCAAAAATCTCATTTGAAAAGGATTCTTAGAGAAGAGTAAGACTACATTTGATGAGCCTCGAAACTATTTAAATAGCTGTGAGCATGTTGAATCTTTTAATTTTGATTTGGAAAATAAGTTAAAAGTATATTGTACAGAATGTAATTCACGATCGAATTTGATGACTGTTCCGAAAAGAAAACCAGCTTATTCTTGTTTAACAGAAATCATAAATGATAACTTCAGGACAGAAAGCTAAAGTTTGAGTCTTTTAAAACTTATGACATGCATTATGTTTCAGACCTTTAAAATTCAGAAAGTGGGAACTGTAAGAGTGTAAAGTCCAATAATTCTCAGCTTTTTCCAGCAAGAGAAATGATTCATCTACTCGGTAACATCTGAATGAAAGGTATTGAGAACAGCGAGGTACTATTTTCACTAACTGAAACAGAAAAAGCAATTAAACGGGAAATTGAATTCGATGAAAACATTTCCTTTCCCTCCACCTGCTGTTACCACAGAGTTTAGCATATTTACCTAAACCAAAAATAAACCTTTAAAATTTGTCATTGAAGGTTTTAGTTTTTTCCATCGTAGATTCCATTCCTTAATCCATATAGATGTGTGCATATGTATATGTAAACTTGATATACAGATAGATAAAATGGAAAGACTGTTTCAAAGAGTGAATTGAGTACCGCCTTCAAGTCAGATAGATCTGCGTTCAAATCTTGCTTCCAGGGTCTATTCAGTGGGATCACGGACTTGTCACTTAACCTCTCAGTTCTCGACTCTCTAAGATTACAAATTATGGAGGAGATGCTCATCGTCCTGTGAAGGGAGGTTCTTACTACCGAAATGAAATCACATATTTGACGCTATAAATAGATATTATACAAATGTCTTTATTCTAATGTCACGATTTTCAATTCCTGTATCCTTATGAAAGATCTCTATTTTCCAGAAACTCCTATTTAGAAGTGTTTGTGTTTTATCAAGAAAGTCTTAAGTTTCTATCCAAGTATTTTCAATGTCTTCAAGAATATTTAGAACCTTGGAAAAGTTGCGTTTTCTCGGAAGCATTTTAGCATAAAGTGTCTTTGGAACAACTGAAACACCTTTTAGTGAATTAAAACTATGGGCTAATGGCATTTTTTAAAAAACCAGCTGTTCGAGAAATACAAACATTTACGGAGAATTGATTGGGGAGACTGAAAAAGGTGATTGCCAGATAATAACTTATAGTAATATTTATTATCATGATTCAGATTCCTGATAAAATAATGAGCAAATACATTTCTCCATCAGACTGGGCAGAGGATCGCTAGCGGTCTAGAAAGCAGGAGCTAGGACTCTTTGCATTGCTTTCCAGCCGGCCTATTTTTGAGAGGCAGTGGGTCTTCAGAGGGTGCGAGTCTCTTGGAAACCACTGACCAGAGCTCAGTTAAGCCAAACTGTAGATTCTAGGGTTTGCTGCTGGGATCGGAGTTGGGTGCCAAAATTAGCAAAGGAAGGACGGCTTTCCTGTACCCTCCACATCCTAATTATGATCACTTGATTGTGTATAAATCTGGGTCTGTCCCTGTAAAGGAATGAATGAGACCCTTCTCCTCCCACTCCCCAACTCTTGCTTGTTTCCCCAACACTTCTCTTTTTGTACGAATCAACTCTATCTCTGGATTAGGACTGTGTTCCTAGGATTCTTTCCCCGTTCCCCTGTGGTGGCTCTGACGTGAGTAGCCATGTGACAGGTCCCCTTCTGCTATAAGGGGAGAAAAAGGTCCGCCCTCTCTTGGACTCAGCCCCATCCTCTTCACTATCTTTCCCCAGACTCTCGCCCAACACACACACACGCGCGCGCCGAAATCCCTGCCTCATTTGCCCCCAGCTTTGCCACCTCCTCCTTGGAAAGAGTGGGTGTGGGAGAGCCAGAGGGGGGAAGAAAGGAGGGGGGGAGAGAAAGCCAACTTTTCAGAGCGCCCCGTGCTTGCCTAAGGGCGTATGTGTATTTGTGAGTGAGTGTGTGTTTGTGCACGCTCCCGAAGAGAGGAGAGGAGAGCAGAGCAAAGGAGAGGAGAGGAGAGCAGAGAAGAGACCAGAGGAGTAGGGGGAGAGTGCTTTTCTTCTGGGACCCAGAGCGCTGGGGGGCCCAAGTGACCCTGCAGCAGCAGCGGCGGCGGCGGCAGCAGCAACAGCAGCAAAGACGAGAACCGCCCGCAGCCTGGCTCCCTCTGGCCGGGCTAGCCGCCGGGCACCGGGGCGCGGCGGGTGCCTCGAGCCCAGCGCCCCTATGCACCGCCCCGCAGCCGCCGCCGCTGCCGCCCCCGAGGAGGAGCCATGACCCTGAGCGCGGAGATGTCCGATGCCTCCGGACTGGCGGATGAGACCGATATCGACGTGGTGGGGGAGGGCGAGGACGAAGAGGAAGAGGAGGAGGAGGAAGAAGACGGCGGCGGCGGCGGCGGCAGAGGCGGCGGGCCGGGGCTCCGGAGGCGGCGTCGCTCTTACGCTGAAGAGGAAGACGAGGAGGAAGAGGACGACGACGAGGACGAGGACGTGCTGCTGTCCCCGGGCACAGGGGGCTCCACAGCCGCCCCGGGTGCAGTCCAGGCTGCCGGGTCCGGCGGCGAGAGCAGCGGCGGCGGCGGGGGCAGTTCCGGGGCGGCGGGCGGAGGCGGCGGCAGCGGCGGCGGGGGCGCGGTTGCCGGAGGCGGTGGCGGCGGCGGCGGCGGGGCCAAGAACCCGCTGGTGAAGCCGCCCTACTCGTACATCGCGCTCATCACCATGGCCATCCTGCAGAGCCCCAAGAAGCGCCTGACGCTGAGCGAGATCTGCGAGTTCATCAGCGGCCGGTTCCCCTACTACCGGGAGAAGTTCCCCGCCTGGCAGAACAGCATCCGCCACAACCTCTCTCTCAACGACTGCTTCGTCAAGATCCCCCGGGAGCCCGGGAACCCGGGCAAGGGCAACTACTGGACCCTGGACCCGGAGTCCGCCGACATGTTCGACAACGGCAGCTTCCTGCGCCGGAGGAAGCGCTTCAAGCGGCAGCCGCTGCTCCCGCCCGCCGCCGCCGAGACGCTGCTGCTGCGGGGCGCCGGGGCCGCGGGGGCCGGAGGGGACCCGGCGGCCGCAGCCGCCGCCGCCGCAGCCGCC